AAATCATAGTGCCCATAGACCATAAATAGAAGAACTAAGAAAACACGAGATTATGAAATATGCATACTGATAATTTCATGGAAAAAGAGAACATTCATTAACCGAAAGCATCCGAATCAATCAAAGACCAGTTCTTTATGAAATAGAAAAGCAAAGAAAAGTATAGGGAGTCTATTCTATAACAGACATGCCAAAATCCTTACTTGTTAGATATGTAGTATTTCAGAAAATCAATTATTCCAAAGTAATGACTTAAGATCACCAAGAAACAGCTTGCTTTCCTTCATCTTTCCACCCTACCATTCTCTGCCTCAATTAGAATTTCATAAATACAAATTCAATGTTTAAATCCCGATTTTTATCTAACAACGTAAAAACGAAAGAAAAGGGGGAAAGGAAGAAAAAAAGGCAGAAAAAAAAAATAAGTGACTAATAAACAAGCTACATAAAACTGAAATCATACAAGTAGGTAATACCTAAGCGTATCCATATACTTAGTACTGCAATAAAACAGGAACCCACTGGAGCCCAAACACTTGTTGACTGATAATCACCTGAATTTATATCACGACAAGATATGATTTTGAGCTCGGAAAAGAAGACCAAAGACGCCGAGGAGAGTAATTTCCGAAAATTCACGAGCAAGACCACATCTTCGGACCTCAGGAAAGAGGATTAACAAATAAATAGCCAAATCACAGGCGATTGAAGCTTAAGCCTCCACTCTAGGACTATAATTCACAAATATAATCATCAATATCAACCTCATAAAGTAAAGTCACAGCAAAATTCCAAAGTGAACCGAAACAATCGAAATAAATCAAACAAAGAAAAAAAAAAACTGCACGAATCGGACAAAAACAAATTATTAAAAAAATTAAAAGAGGCGAAAAGAATTAACCTTCAGCGCATAAAATTAAATATACGAGGCGCGACGATGCGAAAGATTTTCAATATCTGTCGTTTATGAGAGACCTGGTGGTTTAGGTTGAAAGGTAGGGCGAGTTCAGGCGGCCAAAACGAGAGAGAGAGAGAGCTGACCGGCGTTGTTCGTCTCGAGATTAATAAAATTGATCGATAATCGGAAATGAGAAAAACTCCGTGAAATCAAGATCCTAATTATTTAATAGGATATTTCCTAATAAATTCCTAAGTCACATTCACCTTCCTCGTAAATTCTATGGAGCCATCGGATAGTTTTTTGATCGAGTCATCTACCACTTAATGTATTGATACCTGTACAAATTGTATTTATTGCAGAACACGTGTCAATACACTATTGGAAAATAAGTGTGGATGTCCGATGGCTCCATAGCAACACTGTCAACTTTCTTCTCAGTCCCTACCACTTTAAACTTGCTCTCCACACCCTAATACAAATTTATCTTTCTTCTCAACCTCCGATATAAATACTAATACTATTATTATTGATTTATTTTACTTAATAAATTCATTATTCTACTTCTTCATTCTCTCTCTTCGTCTGCATCTCTCTCTTTGCGTCTTTCTCTCTTCGCAATCGTCTCTGCCGATCATCTCTCTCTCTTTTTCATTGTCTATCATCTCTCTTTCTCTATCTTCGTGCATCGCTGAACAAGATTCTCCCTCCCGTCGCCATATCTCCGGGAAGCCCTCCGTCTCCGACCAAAAATCCACGAACACAATGGCGGGGTTGAAAAAGCCGTCCGTCTCCAAGAAAACCTTGATATCGGACAAACCATCTTCTTCTTCCAAAGCTTCCAAAGCTTCCAAAGCTGTAAGCAAGATTAAATCTTTTACAAAATATTTGATTCTATTCAACTCGAAAATTTGGGGATTTTTACAAAATTTTGATTTTTTTTTCTTGAATTGGATGTTTTTCAAAATTTGGGTTTTTTGTTGATGGTAATGCACTTCGAATTTGTGATTTTTTTGATAAATTATGTCTCTTTACATGTAGGGTTCATAATATTTTTTTGTTTTGGTACCTTTTTAAATTAGGGCTCTTTGCATGTAGGGTTCATAAATTAGAGCTTCGAATTTAGGATTTTATTGATAAATTAGGGCTCTTTGCACTTTGTGAAATGGTGTTTTTATTTACGAAATTAAATGTTGCTACTGTTGTTATTTGCGAAATTAGGATTGATGTGTTGTGAATTTCAGTTTGAATTGGTGTTTTAAATGTTGCTGCTGTTGGGATTTTATTGCTGCTGTTTGCGAAATTAAATGTTGATGTTGTTGGGATTTTATTGGTGTTTTTCATTTGTTATCAACTTTCTCATTACCCTTTCCATTTTGTTCCGTATTCTATAAGTGATCCAGTGATGCAAGTTGATCCGATGCATTCTCTTTGTTTTATATTTTGTGGTAGAGTACTGAATTTAGAAGTCGATGTGCCCCTTCTTACTTTAAGGATGTGATGGACCGAACTCTTGTTGTGTTGTCTGATCAACACAAGAAGGCTCTTCAACAGAGCGCTTTTTATTTTTTTGTTAATATGCCGGATATAGCCATTTCACATGGTGGAATTGAGTCTATAATAAGCACATACAAGGCTGACATTGATGCCTTTGTTGTAGGTAATGGTTTGTGTCTAAATTTCGATCCAGCTGAGTTTTGTGTGACAATGGGGCTGCGACAGTGTGGTCTAAGTGTAGACTTAGATATGAATTTGGAGTTCCAAGCCCTATTCGATGGTTGGGTCGGGTCGATAATAAGCTTTTGAAAAGAAAGCATGTTGTAGAATATTTAGAAAAGTTTGTTGTCGATGAAGGTCGTGTAGACGACTTCATCAGGATGTTCACTCTTTTTGTGTTTAGTTGTATATTGTTTCCTTGTTCGAGTTATTCTATCCCTAGGTTTGTTTACCCTTACCTAGAGAATGTGAGTCGAATTTCTGAGTATGCATGGGGCGATGCTACTCATAAATTCCTGGTTGCCGAGCTTGTTCGCCATAGTGAATCGAGAGAGATCGTACTTTGATGGATGTGCTGTTGGACTGATGGTATGTATATATATGTGTTTCAATGTCTTAATATAATAATATTAAATTGTGAGATTGTGTAATTTTGAAATAATATTTATGTGTAGGCTTGGTTGTACGAGCGTGTGCCTTCTCTGCGCAAACGGTCCACGCTAGAGACGATTCCCCGTCTATTTCGATGGACGGGGAGCAATTTGCCGTCTACAGTTGAAGGGTGTTTAAAATCACTTCAGAAAATAATGAGGCATAAGGTAATTTATATAATTTTATAGTATTATGTTTTTCCTTCTTCTTTTTATATTTTTGGTTAATCGATATTGTTCTTAAATCATTATGATTTGCTTTGCAGGTGTATTCGGTATCGCCTTTGTTTCCCGAGCGTGCTTTTGTGGAGACCCTGGTTTTCTTTAATTTTGGTCGACAATTTATGTTTCAACATTAATATTTTTTCATAGGTACATGTATCTTTATTTTATGTTCCCTTTAATTTTTTTTTCTTTCATGTACAGGGAATGGTCGAGATCCGTTTACTTGCCATTGTTTGTCAGGAGAATGAGGAACTTAAAAAAAAAATGAACTGTTGGAGAGCGAGTGGAAACAAAAGAAGGAAGAAGAAAAAGAAAAAGAGAAAAATGAGGGGGAGGAAAAAGAGAAAGCTGAGGAGGAGGGAAAAGAAAATGAGGGTGCTAACGGCGGTTTTGGCCCTATTGAGATTGAGGAAAAAGAGAAGGAGAAAGAGGAGGAAGAGGAAAAAGAAAATGAGGAAAAAGAGGAAAAAGAGGAGGAGGAGGAAGAGAAAAAACAAAATGAGAAAAAAGAGAAAAAAGAGGAGGATGAGGAGGACGAGGAAAAAAGGGATGATGAAAAAAAAGAGGAAAGATGAGCTTTGGTGGTATATGAGAATGAGGCAGATGATAAATTGAAGTTGACTTCCGGGACTAATGGTGTGGTAATTAAACTATTAATTTTATTTTTGTAATTTATGTTATTGTTCGTGTTGTTTACATATAACTAATTATTTTGTTATGTAGGAGAGTGCCGAGAATCATTATGATGAGTCTGCTTTGATGAGGTTTATAGGGAGAGAGGACTTCTGTGGCCATGATGCCATTCAGGAACGGGATCGTGGAGCCATCCGATCATTCCTGACGACCGATCACATTAAGTAATAGAAATTATTTCAGTTTCTTAATTGTTTCATTTATGTTATATTATACTAATCAGAATTGCAAAATTTGGTAGCAAAATTGTGTAGAGCAATCAAAGAGTGATAATCCGAGGAAAATTGATGATCGATCTTTTGTTCGGAAACGAGTTGAATTCTAAACTCGTTGATTGCTTCATGGAGATCCTGCGTGGTCGCCATCCTGCAGGCACTATCTTTTACTATACTCTATTAATTTAACTGATTCTTAAATTTGTTAAGAAAATATTTAACTTGTAGGGTGATGTGTTGAATGTGGTGGATAAAATGAATAAAAAAATCGCTTAGACAAGTGAAGATTACGTTGTGTGCGCTTCTAAGCTGACTAAAAGTAGTATTGTCATGCTCGATGAGGTGATCCGTTCCTTGTTTGGTGCGAAGTGTGTGTTCTTCCCCGTGTTGCTCAATTCTCACTTCTTCTTGGTCGTCTACAACGTTGAAGAGCATATATTTGTGTACCATTACTTGATGGATACACTGAGGTACCGAGGAGCCGGGAAACACTTGGTAAATGTTATTGACATTTTAAACTTTGTTTTGTAGTTATTATTTATTTTCTTTCGAATAAACTAGTCATGTGTTTTGTTGTATTTTTTCTTTCTTTTTTTTTTTTTTTTTTTGGTAGGCCAAGTTCCTCGCAGGATATCTGAGTTTGAAACTTGGGTTTTACATAAATCCAAACACGAGTTTTAAATTAGGATACCAGAGGCAACAAAGCGGGGCGAAGGACTGCGGAGTTCACATGTGCATGAAAATGGAATGTTACGGCGTCGATACTCCAGAGTATTTGAAGGACCATAATACTTGTTCAGCCAACGCCTATCGAGCACGGATGGCAGCACTCATCCTTAGAAATCCTCCTTGTTGTTGACAGGTTGTTTGGCTATTGATTGCTATTTGTTTAAATTGGATGTTTTGGTGTGTAGTCTGATGGTTTGACTTTGATGGTTGATTGTGGACAAAGTGAATGATGGTGTGATGTTGTGGATGATGGTTTGTGGTTTGTGAACAAGTAGTCTGATAGTTTGATTATTTGATGGATGATTGTAATTTTATGGATGATGGTTTATGGGCTAAGTAGTTTGAATGAATGTTTTAGATTTTTTTGATTTGATTCCTAATGATACTTGTTTTCTTAATATTAGTACCTCATTTTTTGTGTAAAAATACTCATTTTCCAGTAGCTAGTACTCATTTAAGGATGTGTTTTTAAACTGTATACCAGTTTCTATTCATAGTAGTATCTATTTTCTTCACAATAGTACCAGTTTTGTATTGTTATAGTACCTGATATTAACGAACACATAAAACACCGAATTTCGGTCTCAAATGATGTTTACATGACAAATAATCACTCTCACGCTAGTTTGTATGAGATTTATAACGTGTTTAATTAAGTCTAATCGCAAATTCGTCACGGATTCAACACACTAATGAAAAATACTACCAACACTTCATCTCATTAAAATGGTACCAGTTTTGGGAACAATAGTACCCTCTTACGCAGTACATGTTTTTGATCAATTAGTACCAACTTGGTTTCCACGAAAATTTCTTATTCAATTGTGGTCAACATTTGCAATAATTGGTACCAAACATAGAGCATGACAATACCACTATTCGGCGTTTTGGTACCGATTATCTGGACGTTAGTACCACTTGTAATGAACACATAAAAACACCGAATTTCGGTCTAAAATGTTGTTTTCATGACAAATAATCACTCTCACACTAGTTTTTATGAGAGTTATAATGTTTTTAATTAAGTTTAATTGCAAATATGTCGCGAACTCGACACACTAATGAAAAAAACACTACCAACACTTCATCTTATTAAAACTGTACCAGTTTTGGGCAAAATAGTACCGCATATTATTCTAGGTGGTACCTGCTTTTTATCGATTAGTACCTACTTTTGTGAAGAAAAATT